GTCACTTCCTGTCAACGTTACAGATCAGAAGCACAGAGAGCTGTTGACTAGAGATGATACGCCGTCTCACGGTGGTCACTTCCTGTCAACGTTACAGATCAGAAGCACAGAGAGTCGTTGACTAGAGATGATGCGCTGTCTCATGGTGGTCACTTCCTGTCGACGTTACAGATCAGAAGCACAGAGAGTTGTTGACTAGAGATGATGCGCCGTCTCATGGTGGTCACTTCCTGTCGACGTTACAGATCAGAAGTACAGAGAGTCGTTGACTAGAGATGATGCGCCGTCTCACGGTGGTCACTTCCTGTCAACTAGCAGCTTTTTACAACGTTGCAGAGCGTTGACAGTAGTTGTTTGTGTCAACTCGTCTCATCATGGGTCCTTGGTCTGAGCTGGGTTTTACACTTCAGCTGCTTTTACCAGCTACATGTCAACTGACACTTCACTTGATTATATTCTTCAGCTCCTCACTTTCATCTCCACATTTTGGAGGATTTACCTTGTCTTTATATGCAAGAGAAGAAATTTAGACCTCCTCAACACACACACACACACACACACACACACACACACACAGTTACCAAAATAGAAAAACAAAACTCTCTGGGTCAGACTGAAAAAACAGATTGCACAGGCGTGCTATGACACACACACACACACACACACACACACACACACTATCAGGCACAGACGGATATTTGTGTCTGTCATAGGCTCTGTCTCCGAGGGCCGGGGCGCGCGCACACACACACACACACACACACACACACACACACACACACACACCAATCTCCTCGCTGTCATCCTCCTGCTGTCACCCAGTCCAGATATTAGCTGTTTGTCAGGAATATAAAGTCTGGATTCAACTGTCTGCTGCCTCACACACGCCGCTCTAACAGTCACTGTCAACAGTCAGACTGAGCTCTGTAAATATTACACAGATTACATCGCCTCAGGAATGCATCATATCAAAGGTGTGCTGTTGTCCCCGGCTCAGTGTGGGTCCTAAAGAAAGAAGGTGGATTACAAAAAGCAAAAACTAAGGCTCACAGACTGAAGCCTCCAGTTTAAACTGGTTTGGCCCGGGATTGCTTTGTGTCTTTTACCTGACTCCACCTGTGTTATGTCCATTTTAACTGTCACATAATTGATTTTTTAAATATATTACCTACTAATTTGTCCAACTTGATTCAATCCTTTGATCATTTTTTTAATTTTTGTTACGTGACACTTTTGTGAATGGTCTCTGTGGTCCCTCTCACACACCAGATATTACCAAATACTGTGTGAGTATTGTGTCCGTCTGTAAATGTCCTGTCATGTCTGAGTGAAGCTTAGAGCAGCAGTAACCTACACCTGTCTGGACGTCATTCTAACAAGTAGGTAAAGACAGCGAAGCAGAACGATCTATGTCTGAGACGGACTTCAGTCCAGTATTCAAACTTTAAATGGACTTGAATCTTGATATGATCTTAATTGATGTCTATGATTGGGGAGCTTTGATTTCCAACTATAATTCAACATGTGTCCAATGCTGGAAGGTTGAGGTCAAGCAGACGTTGGGTTTTCATGGATATTCAATTTTGAATCCCAACCACATTGCAACATCTGTCTAATGTAGCCAATGTTGAGTATTGATACCAGCCCCATTTTCATTTCCAACAAAAATTCAACACCTGTCCAACGCTGGGTTTTGACAAAGATCTGAATTTGAATTCCAACCAGAATGTAACATCAACCCAACCTTGGGTTTTGTCTTGAACCCGGTTTTCATTACCAACAAAAAGTCAACAAATGTCCAATGTTGGAAGATTGAAGTCAACCCATGGCTGGGGTCTGACATCAAATTGAGATTAATGGGGCGTCGGTGGCTTAGTGGTAGAGCAGGAGCCCCATGTACAAGGCTGTTGCTGCAGTGGCCCGGGTTTGAATCCAGCCCGTGGCCCTTTGCTGCATGTCATCCCCTCTCTCTCCCCCCTTCTCGACATCTGTCCAACATTGGAAGGAAAACTTCAGCCCTAATTTAATAGATATCCCGTTTTGAATTTCAACCACTATGCAACGTCCATCCAATGTTGGAATTGATGCCGCGCCAACCTTGAGTTTTGACGTCAACCTCATTCTCAAAAAACTCTGCTGGAAGTTGATGTTGAGCCAACTTTTCGATGCCAAACTGATTTTTATTTACAACCAAAACTGGACATCTGTCCAACGTCCAGCGTCTTTCTGACATCACATTGAGGGTTTACCTGACATTGCTGTTGTAGATGTTGAAGGTGAGGCAGACGATCCCCAGCAGGATTCCCAACCCAGCAAAGACGGACACAGACACAAAGATCTTCTGGGACAGGTAGCGAAACTCCTCGATGACCACCGTCTGGTCTGCAGGCGGTCCTGATCCTAGAAAACACAGAGGAGCAGATGAGAAGGATGAAGACACTGTAAGGAAAAGAGACGAGTGACAGAGGTGAAGAAAAGCGTGTGAATAAGAAGAGCAGAAAAGTGAAATGCATCTCCAGTGTTTGCTCAGACGACTGGTGTAACTACCAGCACAGTGTCCAGCCACATCTCAGCCTCCCATGTCCCGTCAAGGTTTGTAGTAAATCACACCCAGTCACTAAGTGTGTGGCGCCACCGCCAAGGTTCATTTAATGTTCAGATCACAGCTGGCACTAACGGGTCGGGCGCACAGCCACAGTTCAGGACTGAGAAAAACACTTTCACTCCTCGGTTCATTTCATTCATTGACCTCCACCTTGCATTATTCATGAGCCATTTCCTGATTTTACAAGAAACATTTGTATAATGAGGTGCAAGGTCTGTTCAACGAGGTGCAGGGCTCAGTGAAATGAGGCTGTACAAACCTGAGAGACGCACGGGCATAGTTATGTGTAATATAAAATCATCAGCTGTGGAATAAATCTATAGATTGTTTCACCTGAAATGAAGACGGCCGGCACAGCTCCCGAAATCAAGGCGGTCATTCAGTTTGTGATAACAGCATCAAATCTGGTCCATATATGGCTTTATATGTGTAGCAGACATTTAGATATCAGGGCTCTGCAGATGACACTCTGATTCTGACTCTAATGACCATGGCGGCAAAATCCAGTACCAAATCCAAAACCGTTTAAAATTCTCAGATTTATGATTTACATTTAAATCACATTATATTTCATCTATGGTCGCTATCCCAAAAGTGTAATTGTCACACACATTGTCACCCAGGCTGAGAGAATCTTACGAGACGCAAACACCGCTCTCGGTCGGTGTGTCAAGCTCATATGTATTAAGTATGAATCCTGGGTAATAGTCCTCTAACCATGAGCACACATTCTCACACTGGGAACTCTGTTCTATCTGACACAGCCCGATGAATGAACATCCTGTCGCAACAAAACATCATCCTGGCCATACTGAACCTAAGCAGCCAAAGGTTAGCACCCGTAGAGAGAATTTATTCAAATATTATTAGCTTAAACTCACTGACATCATAAGTAACTGCATGAAAGGCACTTCTAATATAAGTGAAGACTGAAGGTTACGATACTGTAACCCTAGTTCTATTAGCACAGGCGGAGCTCCTTGGGTAATGTTCCTACATTCTCACACTGAGAATTACATAGATGTAGCCGGCTGCCCATATACATGCAGACTGTATGTAGTATATAGTGTGTAAAGAAGCCGATAGCTGGCGTCAGACATCCTACACCATATTTAGCAAACAGCGTAGAAGTGACAGGGCCACAATCCAAGGATAGCAGAGGAATAACCTGCCTATCTCTAACCTGAACTCCAGCCAGTCACACTCCTCGTGCCTAAACCGTACTAATCCAACCAGTGAAGGTGATCTTGGGAGAGTAAGGCAGGTCATTCCTTCACTATCCTGGGATTTGCAAATTTGTGACAGGGCCCCGAGGTAGAGGGCTAATAGAACTAGGGTTACAATATCGTAACCTTTACACTATCTCACACAGGCTCCGCCCTCTACTGGACTCTTTGTGTACAGTGGGTGGAGCCTGATGAGCGAATGTCCTGCCATGACACAAAGCTTAGTCACTGTACGTACACGTAGAAATGTAACGCCTGCGAGGTTTTGCAGAAATATACAACACCAAGGTTTTCTCCTGGCGACTGGGCCGTACAGAGACGGACTACAGGCGAGATCAATGTTTTGCTCTTCCTGGGCAAAATGTTGCATCATCACTGACACAGCTCACCCACACAGATCTTTCACTGGTTGCAGGATCAGGTAAACACTGGTGAGAATCAGACTTCACTCTGTCTCTGAGGATTCATGGTTTCATTTACAGTTACACCTTTTGATACTGGACAGTAACCGGATCCACCCAAGACCATCACTTGGCTCCAATCATTCATCACCATGTGGTAAAGGATGCACCGGATACTGTGCGTGTTGCAGTGAGTAAAACATGCCATGTGAAAGTAACCACACACTGGAGGTGTCGGTCAGGACCGACTTCATTTCTAATGAAAAACACAACCTGGTGTGACACTGAGTGTAATAACAACAAGCCGCCCCTCAGCGCTCAGCCATCAATTAATCAATTAGTCTGCGTGTCAGCTTTACAAATACAACCTGCCCAAAGCAATTACAGCACATAACAGGCAGCATATGCAGGAGTAAATTACAGAGTGTAAATGAATGCTAAATATAAACAGAGCAGGGAATCCTACACGGCTGTGATTAAAGGAACCACATCAGGATCAGGATCAGGATCAGGATCAGGATCAGGATCAGACTGGTGCTGCTGATATCTGACCAGCAGTGTCTGATCACCGGGGCTGGACTGGGACAAAGAGTCGGCCCTGGCATTTTAACCAGTCTGGTCAACCACAGTCAATCACGCACATACACAGCTCCAGATGTGTCAGTGACCAGATACATTGATAATCAGCATTAAGGTAAACTATCAGCTCAAACTCAGACCTGGCAGACGCTCGGTGCACCTGTGCTCCGATCAGGGCCAGAAAACTTCCGCAGTCCCCAGTGTGTCGTTACACATTCTAAACATCACATTTGCTTTAATTATTTTAAAAGCCGCAGAGAGGGCTATTGATTTACTGATAAACTGAAGAGGCCTGTTTACATCCACAACAAATGAGCCTCTGCACCAACATCAGCTCCGCTGGTCTGAGGAGAACCTGTGGTTTTATAGAGAGCACGGGGCAGCAGACACACTCAAGTCTTTTTACCTGATACTATAAATAATAATCCTAAACATTAACACACGTTACAGTGACGTTGTTGATCTGACAGACAACTTTTCGGACATAGAGTGATTTCCAAGTATAAAATCAATTTCACATTTACATTTTTTTTCTCATTTCCTCACGTCAGTCTGAGCTGTGTAAATGAANTTTTTTCTCTTTCATTTTATAGTTGTAGTTTACTGATGTATGAACAGAGGTTACATAAAACCAGAGTGAGCGTCCTCTACTGACCAATCAGACTGCAGGGTTTCTAGCTCCACCTTTTAGTACCAGATCTGTGTGCTAGGTACCCCAACAGAGGGGGGACCAAACATGGGGACGCTAAGGAACGCTTCTGTTGGGACCATCCACAACATTTTATAGTGGGAAGAGAAACTATGGACCAGTGGGGGCTGCTGGTCTTTCAAACAGGGGAAGCTCACTTCGGGGTGTCGGTGGCTTAGTGGTAGAGCAGGCGCCCCATGTACAAGGCTGTTGCCACAGTGGCCCGGGTTCGACTCCAGCCTGTGGCCCTTTGCTGCATGTCTCTCCCCCTTTCACACTTCACTATCCTATCAATTAAAGGCAAAAAATGCCCATAAAAATATCTTTAAAAAAAACAAACAGGGGAAGCTCACTTTAAGTTTACATCATAACATGTGTCATATTGTAGCGAGGCAGTAACTTATAAAAGGAACATTTAATTGAAGCCATTTTTCAACCACACTCATGCCGTAGAGCCACAGCAACACACACCTCAGAGATTTTCAGATGGGTTTAACAGTGTAAATGAGCTGTATGGCTTATGGAAATCAGGAACTCTGGACGGCACTCTGTCAGAAGACTCCACTCGCTGATGCCGGTGTGTATTTCCAAAGTGCTGTCAATCACAAAGGGGTTCAGCCTTTAAGACAGTTCCTCCAATCATCATGCAGACACCGAGCGTCCTCTCCCGCCTACCGCTCCATCAGGTCCCAGGGAAGCTGAGCCTCCCTGGAAGTGACGATCTTGTCACATTTATCCAATGAGCGTCTCACTTTGCTGCATGAACAAAACCTGCTCAGCGCTGTCTCATAGGAATGCTTGGAGGCTCCGCGTCCACCGTGCTGACACGAGAATGTATGACAGGGAGGTCGCGTTTGAAAACTGGTGACAAACAGCTGACGTTTGAACATCATAGTCGTGATGTGAAACGCATCCTAGCGCATGTTTAATGCAATGTAAATTCTTGTTTTAATGTAAATTCAATAGTGCATATTTGACCATTTCTTCTATGAACTTTTAGGGGACGTTCAGCCTCCCTTGTTGTCTCAGAGCAATCAGCCCTGATACAACATCTCGTCAATGGCAGAGAAATATTAAGTATTATAATCACACAACATTAGTTTCAGTTGTTATTACCTGACCCTCTCAGGCTTCCATAGTCAATATGATAGTAATAGTCAGTGTCTGTACCCCTACGTTCACCTTTGGGTGTCTCCCTCCTTACCTCTCCCCCTTTCGCTGTTGTGATCCCTGGGAGAGGTAAGAGACATTGTTTTAGTTAAGCTGTTTATATGTTTCATGGTAACGTATTCCTGTGTCACTTCACTGTGTCGGGGCTGGAGTTATACGGTTGTGTTTGACAGAGGATTTTTTTTTTGCCACTTCCTGTCAGTGTTATCAGGAATAAATGGAGGTTGCCTGCAGAGATATCCACGGCCTGGACCTCTTCATATCAACACGACGCAGACATCACTGAAGTTCACCGGTCACATTTATTCTTCTTTTGTTTCCAGGGAAACACACAAATCTACATTATAAAAAATAAATGAAGACTTTCAGTCATTCAGTCCTCACTCATTTATGAAACAACCTCTAAAATAACCTTTTTTTCCAGTGTGGCCGACAGCCTGCTGAAACAGAAAATCTACCCACATTTGGCGCTTGGCGGGTGTTAATTCTGCGACCCTGTGAGCAGCGCTGCAACACCAGCAGGCTGAGGCGGACAGAACACAGTACTACTGTGAAAACATCCTCTGTGTGGCTCTGGAGGCGTTTTCCAAAGTCTGAAAAAATAACCCTGATAATGTTTCAAAGGCTAAATCCTAACAGAAGGTCTGCGTTACAAATTGGGGACGTGGAGTTTAAAGACGTGGGCGTCAAAGACACTAACGACTTCTGCTTTCAATGACACAAATACTCTGCGGCTCTCTGAAACTACAGCAGGAGCGTAATGAGGCTTTGTTTCCATTAAATTTACATTCTATGGGCTGTGCACCACAGAACATGTGTGAGTGTGTGTGTGTGTGCATGTCAGTGTTGCCTCCTTAGCTGCACTTTCAGAGCATCTGAAGCTCGAGCAGCGACAGTGCGGCCTGAGGCGATGCGGTGTAAGATCCGTGAGCCTCGGCGTGTTTGAATGAGATGTTAATAGCAGCCATGTTGCCATGGAGTCTTAAGGTCAGAATAGTAACAGGAGCTTCTTCTGCCTCACAAATGTGTTGCTATAGAGGCTACCGGTGTGTGTGTGTGTGTGTGCGTGTGTGTGTGTGTTTGTGTGTGTGTGTGTGTGTGTGTGTGTGTTTGTGTGTGTGTGCGTCACACATCAGAGGCTGATGCAGAGGATTACTTTGAGAACCTCACTTCAGAAGCTCAGTGTCTGTTACTCAGACAGCAGCTATTTTTGATTCATGTCATAATAATAATAAAAAGATCTTTTTTAACATAAGGTGTGATGATGATCTTTTATTATCATCAAGCCGAGCACGTCTGGAGACGCTGACTGTTGTGTAGTATAAATGCCTATATTTGTATTGAGAGTCATGCAGAGTGCACTCAGCTTCCGGCTGTCTTAAACCATCAGTGTTTCTATCAAATAACAGAGTTTAACTTGCATTTAATCCACCGCAGGGCTCTGACCTTGGAGACAGGACAACAACAGTTAAAGAAATCATTTTGAAATCTGGAGGTTGCTCTTTGACTCGTAAACAGTGACTAGAGGTTTGTTAAACTGCAAACTACACACACAGCTGATAACTACTAACTGTAAAAAATAAATGAAGACATGCAACCATAAATGAATGCATTAAATACATTCACTCATTTTCCATAACAGCTTCTCACTGCTGTTGCATACAGGTCAGTTCGATATGCATTTTTCTGTCTCCACAGTGAAAGTTGTGGATGGTCCCAACAGAAGCGTTCCTTAGCGTCCCCATGTTTGGTCCCCCCTCTGTTGGGGTACCTAGCACACAGATCTGGTACTAAAAGGTGGAGCTAGAAACCCTGCAGTCTGATTGGTCAGTAGAGGACGTTCACTCTGGTTTTATGTAACCTCTGTTCATACATCAGTAAACTACAACTATAAAATGAAAGAGAAAAAAATAACTTCATTCACTGGGCCGACTGCCGGCAACTTTTAAGGTGGAACGTTAACTTGTAATGTTACTCAATGCATGAGTTGATGACGTGAATCCATCAGCACACCTTAAATTTCACTGTGACAACTTTGACCATCACTTTAGTTTTTATATGACACACACTTTTAGTAATGACTTTAAAAATATAGATGAATTTGGAGCGGATTATGTGAAGGTCATATATTCTAATCCTCACTTCCTGTGGGCTACAGCAACACTAAACCCCTGAGCTTGCCTGAGAAGGACTAAATGCACAAAGCTGCTATTTTTAAATATCCCATGGAGAGAGACTCTCACTGCAGCCTGTTCTATTTTGTTGTGAAAATGTGGGCGTGCAGCCTCGTTCTGTGGACGATAAACCAGGTGCAGACTTCCATCTGTGTCACCGCTGATGAGGAAATACAGCGAGTGCTGGACGGAGCAGTGAGTGACAACAACCCCGCCCACATTTAAGAGGACTGTCTGATCACACCGAGGGTCTAGGTACCATGTCTGAAGGCTTACTGCTGGTTCCACAGGTGCTGGACTCAAAGGGTTTGGTGGAGACGAGGCTTCAGTTTCGCAGCACAACACGACGAGATGATCGACATTATTCACTTCACCCACCAGTGGTTAAAATGTTTTGGCTGATCGGTGTAGATTTTTACATGATGATGATTTGCTTCTGCATTTTCCATGAAATGTTTCTCAGCCTGTTTCAGCAGCAGCACTGTGTCAATAAAGCAAAGAGTCTGCAGGAATCATAACTCATAAAGATGATGCACAGTGTATGTGAGAGGGTGTTAGTGTTTGCTGGAGACAGATACAGAGTCTACCTGTGCATGTGTGTGGGTTACAGTGTGTGTGTGTGTGTGTGTGTGTGTGTGTGTGTGAGAGAGTATGTAAGCGAGAGTCCTTTGGGAAAATGTGTTCTCCAGCACTAATACCTCCCCCTGCCCTTGATGGTGGAATCGGGACAGTATGTTACCATGGCGACTGGCCTCATAATGGTTACCAAGGCAATATGAGAGAGGCTGCGATGCAGCAGCGGTTGTCAAGGAGACCGAAAGAATGAGGGAAGAGAGGAGAGGAGATTGTGGACAAACACTGGGAAATAAAAGTGGGAGAGATGAGACGCGTTCGAAAGACAGAGAGAGAGACGAGGAGATAAAGGAGGGATTAAGGGAAGGAGGCAGAGACAAGGTAAGAATGGAGGAAGAGAACGAATCCAGAGCTGTGGCACGTCAGCACGTAGCAACCACTCGACAACACGTCCCGGCCACCTTGAGGAGGCCTGATTCTGTCATGTCCCCGTCCTACCTATTTTTGGTGCCCATTGCCAGGACGGACGCTGCTGACCGCTGGTACTGGCGGCGAGGAAGGAAGACATCTTGACAAGTGCTTTGGGGTGACTGGCTGTCACACACATGAAACTGGCTCCTTGTACTGTGTTACTCAGCCCGTCCACTGCCTCAGAGCATCTGCTGACCTCTAAACACAGTCCAGATGGTCCAGACAGTCTCACTGAGGACGGCATGTCCACAGGGTCAAACACCAAAAACACAGGCGGTGGACACTTCCTCCGGCCCTCCCTCGGGTCTTGTCATATCAGAGTAAGAGGCCACTTGGATGACCTTGCTGTCTGTTGGCTTGGTTACAAAAACTAGTTTCTGGCGCACGGCCAGCGATGAATCTGTGCTCCCAGCTTTTCAGTGACAGGAGACGAGCGTGACGTCCAGCGGACATTACAGCGTGGCTGCTGTCTTCACAGCTGAGATGTCAACACACACTTGAGGAACAGCAGCTTCATTTTCAGAGGATTGGTGCGGAAACGCAACACCTTTACCCGTCATAAAGGGACAGTCCGCCCCATAATCAAAGACAGACTTGGTGTGAGTGTTGCAGATATCGACCGTAGAGATGTCTCTTCTTCTTGTGATGCTCAAAGCCCCAAAAACACATTTAATAACCTCGAGTGCAGTGTCTCTTTCCAAAAATCATCACTCAAGATAATCCTCAGACCTCACTGGGAGCAGGTTCATGTATTTTTTCCTGCAGAACTACACGTGTCCACCGTATCACCGTGCAGACGACTCATGGCCCAGAGGCTTGTGACAGCGCAGAGATGTAAATATTAAGGGTGTCCACCTGAGCTGAGCTGAGCTGTAGCTCGGTCAGTGGTGCAGCAGTAGATGCATGCTTCCTCCTGCATGGAAAACAGAAAGGCTTGGCGGGGACGGACGTACCGTTGTACAGACAGAATCCAACAACATAGAGCCTGCGGCCAAGATTATCACCGGCACAGAGACATAATAACTGTGCCTATAAATAACACGAGCAAATAACGGCCTTGTTCTCTCTTCTACCATTTAAGCATTTACACAACATATAAACAGTGTTTGTTGTAAAGGGACAAATGATGCTTCCTCCCTGTCTGCCCGCCAGCACTTCACCTTCTTCACTTGTACAACAGTCGCCCCGCCTCCTCCATCTTGAAACAATCGATGTCATTTTGACAGGAAATCCAATCAGCTGTGTCTGAGACGGCACTCGTGACAGTTGAGCAAATAGGGAAACACAATAAACAACTGAAGGTCGAGCTGCATCCGCCGCCCTCCTCCCCGCCGCTGACCACTGCGTCACTCGCTTTTGTCTTCCCCTCTGCCAGACTTTCAAAGCTCTCCGCAGTTTTCAGAGCATTAACCAATTTTAGATCTGCATCTCGTCAGTGCTCAAGGAGGCAGAAGTGACACGGACGCGCACGGAGCTCCCCTGTGTACTGATTAGGAAACACAATTTCATTCCTCAAAGTCAAGGTCATGAGGCCCAATCCCATTACGCCAACGCCCAGATTGCTTTCTCCTGTTTTGTTTAGACTGTCAACTAGCATCTTCTATTTATTGCATTGCTGTCGTTGCTTTGAAGTGGTTCTCATGTTTAATTAGTAAATGGAATGAAATTGTCGCTCGGCAGCGCATCGGTCCATCAGCAGCCCTTATCTGAGGCTCCATCCGCTGCTGAATCACTCGGGTGTCTGGTGAGCTGTGAAGAAGTTAGCAGGAGCGCTGCTAAATAAAACCTGACTGACTGATTGATGAACGTTTGCAGCAAATCTTGTATGCAAAGAGTGGGGGTGGGGGGCGAGGCAGAGGAGAGTGCAATAAAGGAGGAAGGAAAGAGGAATTAGATGGAGAGAGGGGAAGGCCGCAGGGTCAGAGAAAACAGGAGATTAGACGGTAGAAGGAGTGCAACAGACAGTGATGAAGAGGAAAATAAAGGAGCAGAGGAAGATGAATGTCTCTCACCGATCCACTTGTCATTCCCATACCAGGACAGATTGCCTTTAGTGCTGTCGTAGTATCCAATCTTCTTATAGCTGCCTCCTGTGTGAGAGACAGAGAGAGGGTCACAGTGAGCTTAACGTCCCCAACTCTAATGAATGTTGCACCAGTTATGGCCGCATACCAAACCTTAGCACCAGCTGTAGGTGAAGTTTTCATTTGCCAGTTTGAGGCTGTATTTTATTTGCACAGACTTCTTGCACAGCTAAACCTGCGTCCCTGTTGGATCATAAAGCCCACTCAAAACACTGATGATGGCGACAGAACAGCAGCGTCCAGATGTCCTCGCTAAGCGTGCAGCCTCTGTTTACTTTTAACACAAATGTCATTGTTTGACATTTTTTCTTCAGGGAAATCACAACAGCCCGATGCCCTGTGTCCTTGTTCTGCCACTCTGAGACCCAATACACTTTATGAGATATTTCATTAATGAAATCCAGGCCAGAGGGAGCCCCGCAAGCCTCCTCTAATAAAATAAAACCACCCATGTGAGAAACTGGCCTGTCATCAGCTGTAGCACATTGCTGTGGTTTGTTGTAATAACACTTTAATATCCAGAGGGAGGCACAGCCCAGGGGCATCGAACCACCAACCACTGGACACCACTCCTAACTGTCTAGTCATCGTTAGGCAGAATTCCTACAGACAATTAAGAGCACTCTACTAAGAAGCCCTTATGCTCTACGGCCAGGGCAGAATTTAAACTTCTGCGTCAAATTGGCGCCGTACCCTACACTGTAGACTGACGTGCACCTCCCCAGTAATGTAACTCCACGTCACAGTGATGCAGACCTCCTGTCTGTCTCTGTAAGCTGAAACCATTTCCCTCAGTGCACTGCACGAAAAGCAGTGCACCAAAATTCGCACATATCCCATGTATTTTGAAAGGCTGCAATCAGATCTCAGATGATCTCAGATCCAGGACTGTCCCTGGAATCACGTGTTCGGATCCACGTGAACTTTGAGTCACGTTAAGGTACGACTCACCGTGTTTCTTTTACTAAAACTTACCTCTGTAACTTTATGTTAGTTATGGGGCTATCATGAATCATTGTATTAGAACATGTTGGTTAGTAATTCATTTGAAGATGGTTTGGGTGGATGAGTAAAACAAACTGCTGGTGTGAACACTGAAACCAGAATGTTAATGCAGTTCTATGAATTCTGGACGACAGCCAGTTGCATCGTGGACAGCAGGCGTCAACGGGCTGAAACATGTCTGGTCTATATTCAGGGAGAAAGACAGATGGACACAGCAGCAACAATCTGACAGAGCTGTCAGAGACAAACAGTATTGAGTGTTTGCTTCACTCTTTTTAAAGCTCAGACTGATTTAGGAAGAGTTGTCAACATTAAGTCAGTCATTGGCTTTATATTGACTTTGTTGTGGCCATAAAGAGCTCATCATAGAGCTCACAAAAAGATGCATTCTGCTTCATAAATTCAAAGCATGGATACAAAACAAAATTGCTGTAAGATAAATGAAGGTCTTTGAAGCCTGCTTGCCAAATTGGATAAAGATTTGGCTGCCAAAAATGAAATGGGACAGAATTAATGCACATCTCATCTGAGCAGTATCATATTGTGCAGAGTTTGAACCAACAGGGTGCTCAACACTGAGGAGACACTGAGGAGTGGTGGGGTTCCTGTCCCTGCAGCTGAACACAGGTAGCTGGTGACAGCAAAGACGTCTACCTGCGCCCTCCCCATAATAACACAGGAGGCTAGCAGAAAGGTCGACAAATACTCAAGTGCAGGAGAAGTTAGCATGAAGAGAAATCCATCCAACAGATCAATCTTGTCGAGACTAATGAGAAGAACTTCTTCACAAACACAAGCACTGCTGTGCTCAGGTCTGATAATTACTGCTGGTATCTTGTGCAGGCCAGGTGTGGCTCATTAGCCATCAGAGAGATTAAACCTCCGAAGCTCTAAATAACTGTTATCGTTAGCAGGTGCCCTGCAGAACAGTTACGTTACATGTTTTTGATCTCACCACTGAATCATGTCGCCCCATGTAATGTTCCAGTGCTGTTGATGCTGCAGAGCTCAGAGAGAATTAAAACTCAACTCTGCAGCATTTTGCAGCTTTTAGCCATTTATTTAATTGGTTCTCCAGCCTGAACATGAACCATAATGCTGGGTTAAAACACAAAGCGTGTCTCAGATCACATACTTCTGTATTAAACACTTAATATTTTGAGTGCACGAGTGCGTTCACATTGCACAGTACAGGAAAATGCAGTGTACTACTGGCGCACTTGAGACAGTCCAGAAGTTGAGTGTGGAATGATGGACACTTCTCAACGGTCGCCATCTTTGTGACTTAGCGGAAGCTGCGTCCTAAACTTCACAACTTTTGACATGGCGGCTGGAGACAACAAGGAGCCTGTTAGTTCTACATATTTTTTGCACTAAGTACCAAAACTGCTGTCGACTAGAAGCCGTCAGTGAAGTTTGTTGGGTCTGCGATGATGTGGTGCCACAAACAATAATGCAAGTGTCAATATTAGCCTTCTAGCTAACTTGCTGCTAGCTATGGCGGCACATTTGAATCAGCATTGACGTTGAGGGGTAAGTTTGGTTCATGTGTGGGTGGAGATAGTGGTGATGCGGGCACTGCACCGGACCATCATGGTTCAGAGGGAGCTGAGCCAGAAGGCAAAGCTTTCCATTTCCTGGTCCATCTCCGTCCCAACCCTCACCTATGGTCATGAGCTCTGGGTAGTGACTGAAAGAATGAGGTCACTGATACAAGCGTCTGAAATGAGTTTCCTCTGTAGGGTGTCTGGGCTCAGCCTTAGAGATAGGGGGAGGAGTCAGACATCTGGAGGGAGCTCGGAGTAGAGCCGCTGCTCCTTCATGTTGAGGTGGTTCAACATCTGATCAGGATCCTCCTGGTCCTTCTGGTAGGAGGCCCCGGGGCAGACCCAGAACACACTGGAGGGATTATAGATCTCATCTGGTCTGGGAACACCTCGGGGTCCTCCAGGAGGAGCTGGGAAGTGTTGCTGGGGAGAGGGATGTCTGGTTTTCTTTGCTCAGCCTGCTGCCCCGCGACCCGGCTTCGAAAAAGTGGTTGTAAATGGATGAACTTCTGCAACACTGTTACTTCCTGGACAACATGCGTCGTCTCTCTGGGTGAGCTCATGTCTCAGTGTAACTGAAAAGTCCAACCGATAAAGTAAACATAATTTTTTAACAATGCCACCTCGACACCAACCCTACCACATTACAGTGCCTCAGTTTTCATAACAGGCTGTTTGTATGTGATGTTCCCTGTTTGACCAGACAGTAGTGGTGGACTGGAAGTCTCAAAGCAACAGAGTTCACCCAGTACCAGTCAGTGATGTGTGTTTATATGTTTGTCTTTTATTCCTGTCATCGACATGTTACCAGCACAAGTTCGCCACTGTGACAGGGCCAGACTGAGATTATAATTCAGGGCCAGGCTAATGTCCACACTCTCACAACAGATACTGAGAGCGTTTGTAAAAGGCAGTGGAGTGAGGAGAAGGCTGGCACTGTAAATAGCTTTGCTGTATCACACAGTTGTCTAGGGAACAGGATAAGAGTTGTCTTTCTTTGACCTAATTCCTGCTGCCTGTAACAGCCCTCACTACAAACACTACGACACAGTAGCTCCGGCTGACCAGTCACAGTTCTTCTGGTGTCCATGCTAGCTCCCAAAATGTCTGTCCAGTACCCACTGGCTCAGGCAGGATCCTCTGTGAAGCTGCAGACTCCCCCTGCACACATATACAGTACCTACTGCAGCACATCTACGTCTACTTCCCTGTCCTTTTAAAAGCCTTACAGCTATTTACTACTACAACTGTGGACCTCCAGACTGCAGCAGAGCCAATTACCATTTATGTTGAGAAGCCAAGCGGAGCCTTGAATGAGCACTTTATTTCCATGTCTATCTTTCCCCCTCGTTTAGAACTGCCCATGGCCAGCATGCTTCCAATTACCATCAAACAAATTACAGCTCATCACTGACCCTTCCCTTGTGGGATGGCGGAGGCCAGCATTAACAAAGACAATCAGCAAAACAAGCTTAATTTTTAACCGTTCCTGAGAACACAGAGAGCCTCCGATAGTCACAGATCTCAGAGCTGTCAGAGAAACACAAAGCACAGACAGACTGAACAGGAGAACACAGGCTCGGTGATCAAAAGGCAGCCAGCCAACCACAGCCTCACACCACCACCACCACGGATAAGACACTACCATCGCCATGTGATCACTCCGCCACCTCGATCCCATCACATGAAAAATACACTGATGCAACATGAAAACATGTCGGCCTGCAGGTTCACTTAAAGTAACACTCTGGCTTTAGACTGCAGAGCAACTAAGACACAGTTAGCCTTTGTTTCATGAGATAAACAAGAACTGGAATCACCGCCCTGCGTTTCCACCCACCAGTAAAGTTTCTCTCTACATCCATGTCTGTGAAAACATTGATGCTTCACAGCCGTCGTCCCCCCGACAGCACAGATGATCTATGCAATCAGCACAGTATCAAGGTGGACACCCAGGATGGAGTTTGGATATCAAAGTTAAGAGAGGATGATCTCAACATTAACCCGGCTGAAACACGACAGAGGGAGACGTAATCTGAAGGGGAGTGTGGGTGGTGTGTTTATGGGTTTGAGTGCATGTGTTGGAGGTGTCTTCAAGCTAAATGAGGGTGTGACGATTTGCATCACCGTAGTTTAAATGTTGGTGAAGCCAAATGTTATTTAATGGTACATTTGTAAAAGAAAAACAACTTTCCTGAAGTTTGTTTTTATCAGAGATACATGTGACCTCTCCACCGTGAGTCCCTTTACATAATGGCTGGGGTCCTTCTGTGTGGAGTTTGCATGTTCTCCCTGTGTCAGTGTGGGTTTCCTCCAGGTGCTCCAGCTTCCTCCCACAGTCCAAAGACATGCAGGTTAATTGGTGACTCTAAATTGTCCGTAGGTGTGAATGTGAGTGTGAATGGTTGTCTGTCTCTATGTGTCAGTCCTGTGATAGTCTGGTGACCTGTCCAGGGTGAACCCTGCCTCGGGGGAAGCTCCAGCCCCTTTGCGACCCTTAACAGCATCAGCGGTTATGGTTAATGAATGTTTACAGTTTGATTGAAAGAACAAGATCACTGCACACTGTATTACATAAGCTGATTATTAAAATGACTTCCACTTTAAGCAGGGATATGTGCTGTGTCATACCTTGAAGCTGTTCAATAAGAGTCCAGGCCATTCGAGAGCCTTGAGCGTCAAATACAACATGACCCTGAAAGAAAGAGGCAGAATTTTAATGTTTTAACATCCCCCTTCATCCTTCACACACATATCACTCTCCAGCTCTCTCTACCCTCTCTCAGTCTCTGCACTTCTTCCCTCCTCTGGGTTTTGTTCTTACCGAAACTCCTTCAAATGAGCTGGTGTTCAGGGCTCGGTAGATCTCAGCTGTGATGTCTCGGTTGTTGTAGTTGAAATCTTCCAGTCTGTGACCCTTGGCCTTCAGGGGGCCCACGGTCTTGTTGAGGGCCAGGGCTAGAGCCCATACAGCATCGTACGCCAGGGGGGCCTCCTGGAAGCCGCCCGTCTCCTCTGGGTTCTTACCCCCGAGTTTAGACATCAGCTGGGCCAGAAACTCCTGAGAGGTCTGGTGAGGAGAGAACAAGAGGAGAAATAGTGCTTGACTACAGATGGATGATGTTCACGCCATTAACTCAGAACATCTGGATTAGCTGGTCTGAATGTGTTCACTGCACGTCACAACATTTACGTCTATCGAGCAGAAACTGTACATATCCTGTAAAAACACAAGTGTATTTTACAAAGACAGAATGCGTATAACAATTGAAACTGACACGGCGTCCCAGAACGCCAACAACAGATGCAGTGTGTCATATGTAGACGTAAAAGTCCACTGACCAAGCAGCAATATTTGGGTTGGGATGAGAACTTGTTGAACACCTTTAGACACAGCACTGATTGCATTAGAGTGAAATTATGGATCAGAAAAAAACCCTTACTGGATTAGGGAAAGACTGTGATTTGGCAACCTGGTCTCACTCCGAAGTCATCGAAAACCGGTAAATAAAAGATCGTGGTTGTGGTTAAAAGAAACCAACGCTGGCTGTTGTTCAGAGACAGGAAAAACACAGCGGTCTCCTGTGTCAAAGTCGCTCAGTTTGTTGACCCATCCGTCTACCCCGACCTCCTGCCTACGAACGTCTGTGGCTCTATAATTATGTCAAGGTACCTTTAGCTTTGCTGCTGACAGACAAGAGCCATAATCACACAGGTGCCAGAGGCTGCTGTCAGGTAAACATGGCCAAAACATGTCGGCTCTTTTGTTGATTTAACCACAACAATAAGGGTTTTTTATGTATCCTTCCTCCTAGATATATCCTCTTGTATCTTTGAAGTGCCTTCCAGTTTATCTTGTTCTTCCTCATTTTTCAAGAGCACCCAACACACTTTGTTGATCTACATTTGATTCTACAGAGCATCCAGTGATCTCTCTGTCCAGATTTATTTATTTCATTTACCTCACTGATGTGCACTTGTTTCATTTCAGCTCATTTTGAGCGTCGCTACTGAAGAAGCCGGTAACAACATGGAGAAATCTACATCCAGAGCCGTGACTTTTTGGACGCACCAAATGTACAGAGCTGTAAAGTTGTCCACCATGGTAGCAGTTAGCTGCTAGCTAACCGTAGCTAACTTGTTTGTCCATTGTTTGGTCTGTGACGTAATAGGTCAACAGGAAAAAGGTCCAATACTAACAAGCTGAAAGGGGGCATATCTCCACCTATCGTAGAGGAGTCGCACATACTTGGCTCAATAAATGGATTCCCCTCCCGTGCTTGTATACTGGGACAAGGACAGTAGGCCAGTTAGATGTCCTCGTCCAGCTGGGACTGTAGCTCCACTTCACTGTGTGACGTCTTGGGCTTTCCTTCTTTTATAGTTTCTTAATTATTTACTTGGTAGCATGTATGTTCCCAAGATGGAGGATAAAATGACTGTTACTGTGGTAACACTGCAGAGTTATGAAATCTTGTCTCGTAGTATTACTCACTGTCATGGTGTCAAATCTCTGAGCAGTGCTCTGGTGTCTGATCAAACTTCAGACTGATGAAACCACAGAACGTAGTATACATACAGTAAGGCCTCTGGGATGGCAGTCACATGGTCGGCCCATGTGCCTCAGTCTACTGATTTAATCCATCAGAAACTCTTTTACCTGCTGAAACCGAAGGCATTACATCATCATGTGAAGCAGCGCTTCTCGGCTTGTCACCTCTTCTAACACCTGAGCCTGAAGTGAGGACAATTATCACCTTCATTTCAGACTGTCTCTCGTGACACAGCCTCTGAAACCCCCCTCTGTTTTAATTATAAAGAGCTTTTATTAGAAAAAAAAAACATCTATTGTTTATCATGAAAATCCTATGAAAACAGGTTTTTACCATTTATATAAAAAACACAGGTGTGACCTTCAGTATGGGCTTCTACTGTTGTTTAATCCTACTGGATTTGAGTCGACGTTAAGCACACAGCTTTTGATATGGAAACCCATTGAATTCAAAACCCCACCCAAACAATACACCACCTATCCAGTTACTAGACGCGACCCAGTTGACGGGTCAGAGTGCCCTGATTAAACTTTGTTTATACGTGCACAAGACATGTGAGCTGCAACACAGAGGTGTTATGCTCACCACACTGTTCATGGCAATATGCTCCAAAACATCAGGGGGTGACATTTTCTGTGGATAAGCAATATGGAGCACGAGGAAAGGTCCACACACTGTAACTCCCATAAGTGCAATTTATTGGCACATCCACAAATGACCCTTTGAGCTAAAGCTCTTCTTCAAATTAGTCCAGTCAGGGTGTACACCCTACTTCCTGTGTTGTATTGACATCTTTTATTGGTGAAGCATCTGCCCTAAATATTTTTGGATGTTTGCAACAACTATACTTCAGTCAAAGAAAACTGTATTTCCCTTTGCAGTATCATCTGCCTTTTCTTGGGCCTATGCCAAGCCTAAGGCCAAGAGAGCAAACCTCTCTGCCCTTCCATGCGCCTTCATGGAAAGCTTAAGGCAGGGAGAGCAGCTAACTCACCCTCACTGTGACCTCGTCACATGTCCACGTTTGGTCGTTGACTTTCCACGTCCACATATGACGTCCAAGGTACCCTGGGTGTGTTGGTTGTTGACGTTCTGGGACAGCGTGTCAACTTCAGCCTGTTACATGCATTGTCTGTTTTCAAAATACACTTCTGTTTTCACAGGAAATGTACAACACCGCAAATTAATGTTGTTTTTTCTTGAACAACAAAAACACGTAGTTGGGTTTTGGAAAAAAGAATAGGGTTTGGCTTTACAATCTTCTCTCGGATGAAAGTCGCTGTTCGTTGGACCCATCCACCACCACTCCTGCCCGCCCCACTCTGTCTTTCACTGTCTTAACTTTCGTCCTTGTCCGCTGCGTTTCCCCCTGACACCGACGGGCGCCGTTAAACTATAATGGCAACCGGCCACGTATCATTCTGAGGTTAAAGGACGCCTTTCTTCATTGGTATCTGACGCCGCACATCACTGTCCAAGCCCTGGATTTTGATGACCGGGCTCAAGCAGCAGCAAAAGGAGGAGCTGTGGTGGAGGCGGGTTGCTAAGCAGCTTGCAGAGGAAGCAGCAAAAGTAGGCAGGCCAGAGCAGTTTAAATAGGGCACCCTGAATGAGATTTGCCTATTGGTTGCATAGACAGGAATCATGTGATCTATCAGCTGACTCCCTTCCATGAATCAGGTGATCCATCAGTTGATCGTGCTGCTGGTGATCAGCTGATGTAGCTGGAATGTGAGCTGAGCTCAAAATCGTGTCCTGACTGAACTGATGCTGTGCTCACTTTCTTTGTGCTGCACTGTGAGGCTCAGTGGAAGATAAAAAATGTCCCAGTCACGTTGGATCTGACGCTGACAGGAGCATCTGGAGAGCGTCCAGGACACGCTGCTGTACTACACCTGCTGCGCCCAGCTGTGCAGCCAGCAGCAGCACCAACACACATACAAGACAACATGAGCACGACGAGGGGGGGGGGGGGGGGACTAGTGATATACCCAGCAGTGAGCCAGTGATCATAAAATGTCATTGCCATCATAAAGTTGCCATCAATGATCAATCATCTTAGTACATCATCTGTGCCGATAGACGTGCCGATGGACTGAATTGGACCGTCTTGTATCGAAGTGTTTTGGCTCTATTCTGGACAAAATAAAGGACAAAGCAGGAATGATTTAATACCTTTTCACCAGATACAGTATGTCTGTCACCAGATGTGTCACATCACACCGCTCTGATAAAGGGCCATAACTGTGAGGGAACGTGTCTTTAGTCAAGACTGACAGCTCCTACGTGAGAGAGGTAACCTCCACTGGTTACCTGTCATTTATAGAATTGATTTTAAGCTTTTATTACACATTTTCATGGTCTGCACAGATCTGCAGCTGCTTATATCTCTGATCTGCAGATTCCCCACAAGCCTGAGCGCTGCTTGGAATCATTTGGGCCCGACTAAAATCCTTTTCCCACTGCAGGAACTTCAAACCGTGTAACCCGGGGCGTCCCATAACTTGAACTTTTAACTTTGATACGAGGTTCTTCTCTGCCTTCTACTGTATTTTGCAAACTGTGGCTTTTGAATATGCAGCATTAAAGAGACCACAGTGAGATCTGTTCTGCTTGGGAGGCTATTGAAGTAGTAGCTGCAGAGCAGGAAACAGACCAGTCTTTGCCTACAATCTCGTGAAACATTCTTGCAGGGGGTCAGGAGACAACGCCCGGTGATGCAGCCTCTTCACTGTGATCGGTCTTCCTGAAGGATCCTTTCAGTCCTAAGAAGTGCTCCCCTCTGAAGGTGTTGTCATTCCAGACAGCTTTGCTGCTTGCCTTGACTTCAGCTAATTGTGTGATCTAACCGCCCTCTAGGTGCAGCTTGCTGCTTTGTGGTGACCACAACTGGGCTTCTCTCAGACCAAATCTCTGCTTTGATCCCAAGACCTTAAGGAGTTCAATCAGGTCGAGAGTTATATAGTAAGATACTTTTTGTCCTTACAAACACTGAAGAGTGGAAAATGTGCGGACTGTTAGGACTTTAGGACATTAGAAAAAAATAAAGATGCTTCATGTCGTTAAAAACTGAAGTGGAGTCCAGGTCTGTTTTCTTATTGACTGATTTGTTGAGAATATCTACAGAAGCAAAAATAAAAGAAGACAAAAGTAAATCAACCTTTTCAACCATTACACTGAGTGCAAGTCGCAGCTGGGGCCGACACAAACCAGTCAGTGGCCCAAAAAGGCACAGAGAACCACTCTGTAGTTTATCGGTTTGCTCCACTGTGCTGCCATTCTTTGTGTTGTATCTTTATTTCGACCACCGAGACACTTCCTTGTACACCTTTTATTGCTATTGGCATTTTATGCCTTTGTCAGAGAGCTGATAACAGAGAGACGACAGGAAATGTCGGCGCTCAAACATCTGAGTCACAAACAACATCACCTTTTGGTCTTTAACTGCAGACTAAAGCTCTCTCTGAAGTGCTTCCTCGCCACAAGGGAGGTATGCTGGTCAGACCATGCTGGTGACATGAGCTCAACATGCTGTATCAGTCTGGACTCGGTGC